TTAATCACTGTGGTACCATGGGAGCAGTTGATTGATATTGTCAAAGTGGCTAAGTATTCTGAAGTTGCTCCAAGGTTTTTCAAGGAAGGTACAGTGAAAGAGATGACAGGGGCTTCTTGTCCCACAAAAATGAGTAAGAGACCTTGGTCGTTTCTCAGAGGTGACCCCTTCAGAAATTCTCATCGTATTGGGAGACTGGAATGTACATGTAATGGTCCCCAGGGGCAGTGGGTGGGTACTTTTCTCAATTTTGGGTGCTGACAAACTACATGCTTTATTTTTTATTTTCTAGAATTAAAGATCCTGCTTAGGACCCAATGACCTAGCATTATATACTATATTCTGGAAAAAGAGGTCTGCAGCATGTCCCTATGTACTGATAGGCCTTTTAAAAGAGGGCCCTATCTGCCCTATTTTCACTTTTTGGAAGAATACAAGATAACTATTATTTGTTTAAAGTTCTGATAAGTTGGTTGCCTGTGTATATCCACATTGGCTGAATTAAAAAGTTGAATATTTGTTCTACTCTACTTGCTATAATCACACTTCCTTCCTGGTAGGTTCCGCTATTACCAGAATGTGTGCACAGTAAGCTACTCTTTTGCGTGGTGGAACTGGACACGTTGGGAACGTGAGATTGACTGGATGGCTATAAATGGCATTAATTTACCCCTGGCATTTAATGGACAAGAGGCAATATGGCAAAGAGTTTACCTGAGGATGAATCTTACACAACAAGAGCTTGATCATCATTTTGGGGGACCAGCTTTTCTTGCGTGGTATGTTTAGAAACATTTAGAGTCAACTCTTCCTAAGAAGGACTGGCAATGGGAGTGGGACTGGCACCCAGGTTTTCATATTTCAAGGAAAAATCCCAGATAATCTTTTTCCAACCATCTCAGATTTTACCAATGACAATACAAAATTCCAGACATCCCCAATCACGTGGGATGGCCAGTGACTAACTGGAACAATAATTGGACGTGTTTCTATTTTCCGGACATGACTTTCTTTGCATGCTGTTTCAGTACCAATCCTCCAATTGCTTTGCTCCAAACTCCTCCCTTAGACATTAAGCATGGTACAGACTGCTGAATTTTCCTGATTTATCAGTCAAATTTGGCTTGCTGAAGGAAACACCTCTTTTTACCATTTGGGATTTCCAGACACTGAGTTAGAAAGGTGTATGCCTTAAAATGAGTCAAAGAATGTGAATGAAGAATGGCAGGGAGCAATTTGGATGCCCATTTAAAAGGGAATGTCACTGACGTTTATTTTTGGTCTATTCTCTGACCATTGCCAAGTAAATCATAGTGGTTTATTCATAGTTAGTAAATTATTTTGTTTTGGGAAAATATCTATACCCATAGAGATTTCTTCTAATTTGACCTTCTGTACACTCCCTTCCATCTTAAGCAAAGCCCTCTTACAACATCTAAACATTTTTAAAGTAAAAAAATGTTTTTATCATAAATATTTGCTAGATTCCTCTCTTCTTGAATAAGAACAATAAAGAATAATTATTATTCTATAAATAACTTTTGTTTCAGGTCACGGATGGGTAATATTAGAGGCTGGGGAGGTCCTCTTTCATCTACTTGGCATTCAAATCAGTTGGCTTTGCAGCATAAAATCTTGGACCGGATGCGAGAGTTTGGCATGACTCCTGTGTTACCAGCTTTTGCTGGGCATGTTCCAAATGGTCTTTTGAGAGTCTATCCAAATGCCAGTGTTAGTAGACTTGGTGACTGGGGTCATTTCAACAGTACATACTGTTGCACATACCTTTTAGATCCAAGTGATTCACTTTTTCAGGTGAGTTAACGTGAAAGCACATTTTTTGGCTTTTCTCACAGGTCATGAATCGGTACTATTGGGCCCTGTCTTCAAGAATCTCGATATTTTTTAATCCACAATTTTTTTACACAAACCGGCTTTCCATCCACTCAAAACCAGCGAGTCTGCTCATTGAAACAGTGCATCTTTTTGAAATTGCGCTTTATAGTGATTTAACAACCTGTCTACAAATCCTGCAGGTACAAAAAATTGCAGTTTTAAAAAGCCATCCAGAGGCTGGTAAAGGCCTGCATCAACTTTTTGGCATTCAAATCAGTTGGTTTTGCAGCATAAAATGTTAGATTGGATGCAATTGTTTGGCGTGATGCCTGTGGTAACAGCTTTTGGTGGACACGTTCCTGATGGTTTGTTGAGATTTTATCCAAAAACTAATGTTACAAGGCTTACAAGTCAGGACCAATTCAATTCAATGGCACATACCTTTACACATATTCCTTAAATCCTACTGAACCTTCTTTCAAGGTACGCCTGTAGCTTCCCTTTACATGTTACATATTACCCTCCAAGATCTCCATAATTCTTCATATGATCATGCTGCGAAAGCAGAATTCAATCATTGCTTTATAATTCATTCAAAATAATTCGTAGTTTAAAAACATAGCTAAAACAAGCTTACCTGCATTGATGTTAAGTTTATCTTCGATAGTTTACATTTAGGTTTGTCCAGCTCCGCAAATAGTCTCCAAATAGCAGATGTCGCCCTCCGAGTTGTCATCTTGCTGTTTTTGCTATGTTTTTAGCCATTATTTTGCCTAGTTCCAGCTGTAGTTCTTACTCTTAAAACGAAGGAAGTGTCCGCCATTTTACTTTTTACAACGTAAACAACTCAATCTCGCCCCCAGGTCTTGTAGAAGGCTGCATTTTTGACGTCATTTCCTCATTAAACACAAAATTCTTCTAAATTTGGTCAACAGTAACTGGGTATGGTGAACTATGCGTGTGCTTTTAGCTAATCAGAATTGGGGAAATATTTTGAATGAATAATAATGGCTAATAACCTGCATCTAATTTTCTCTTTTAAAACTCTCCTTTTTAGACATTAAGATCATGAAAGTAAAAGGTCGAAGAGATCACCAAAGAAATCTTCTTAGTGGTAACAGTGTTTTCAGAACAGTGTGGAGAAAATGTGTGTTGATATTACTTTGTTACTGCTACTTGCAGCAAATTGGTGGAGCATTTATTAAGGAACTGATCTCTGAATTTGGAACTAATCATATCTACAACACTGATACTTTCAATGAGATGACCCCACGGTCAAGTGATCCAGCCTACCTGTCCAATGCCAGTAGAGCTGTGTATGAAGGGATCTTGGCCGGGGACCCAGATGCTGTTTGGCTCATGCAGGGATGGTTGTTCCTGGATACTGCGTTTTGGCAGCCACCACAAGTCAAGGCATTACTACAAGGTATAATGTAAGCAGGCTGCACTGTACCTTATTACAGTGACAGGATAATTTCATGATTTGATGGTTTGCATATGTCACAACACTTAATGCAATTTTGGAAACATTTTGGGTTGAGAGGCACTTTAATTTCGCATTTTGAGCATTCACAGTATTATTTAATTAAACATTTTATTTGGTCAAATAAAACATCATCGTTTGCATTTGTTACGTCAAAACTAAAAGTTGATGCGCTGGCATTATGACATTAGTGACATTAAT